TTCACGATCTCACGCAAACATCCGACATATCATCATCACATTCTATCAATAATGCCAATATTATTACGAAAAATTTCGAAATTTCGAGTGAACATAATCACAGGATGAAAAGTATAGAAGAAATAGTGGAAAGCGTACCGAAATCTTATCGTAAGCATGCGCGCTTACTGCTGAAACATTTGCTACAAAAAGCCGTGCCTGATAGAATTAACTGGGACGAGCGCGGAATCGTGACTATAGAAGGTAACGTCGTGAAAGATTCTATTGTAATATCAGTGACTTGATAAACGACGCGATGCGCGAGAGAAAAACTGTGAAAGCAACGGGTAGAAATCAGTTTGCGCGATTACTCCGTGCGTTGAACATATCTTCCGCGCTAGTGAGAAATAAAACATTATTGTCCGCACGGTGTTACTCTAAACAGTAAAACTTCGACCTCGTGCGAATTCCACACCTTTTATATCGAAAACACGAATTTCGCGTCGATTGTATCGAGAGCACGAGGAAAGAGAAAAACGAAAAAATCGCAAGAAGAAGAGGAAACAGACGACGAGCGCTCGCCGTTTCTTCCACGTACATGAAAAACTAATACCCCCGTATCTTCACAGATGAGAAAAAATCGGTTACTCGGTTTGAAAAAACTAAAATAACGATGACGTTTGAAAAATTATACTACGATCCGTTGCATTATACGGGATATTCAGCGGTGGATAATCTAACTCGTGCTGTTAAACCGAATTTCTCACGGGGAAAAGTCGCACGCTAGCTCGAATCGCAAGACACGTACACGTTGCACCGACACATTGCGCAGAAAATTTCCACGATTGTATTACAGCGTGACAAACATTGACGATGTGTGGGAGGGGGATTTGATCGAACTCCGAAATCTAAAAAGTTACAATGACGGTTATTCCTATCTGTTAGTGATTATCGATGTACTTAGTAAATACGTCTGGGTAGAACCGCTACGCAACAAAACGAGTAACTGCGTGATAAAAGCTTTTCAACGCGTACTAGCGAAAAGCGAAGGACGAGTACCCGTATACTTCCAAACGGACAAGGGTAAAGAATTTGTCGCGCAATCAATGCAAAAATTTCTTAAAGAAAACGACATTCGTTTTCGAGTAACGCGCAATCCGAACATCAAAGCCGCCATAGTCGAGCGCTTCAACAGAACACTGAAGGAGCGAATGTGGCGTTATTTCACGCATAAAAATACGCGACGGTATATCGATGTTCTGCAGGACATTGTGCACGCTTACAATTACACGCGTCACTCGTCTACGAGAATGCAACCAGCGGTAGTAACGAGAGAAAACGCGCGTATCGCTCGTGAAAATATAGCTCGTCGTTAGAAAAACGACGAAACGTTAAAGAAACGGGGACGAAAGGTTAAATATCGTGTCGGGGATCTCGTTCGCATCAATAGAACGAAACGTGCCTTCGAGAAAGGATACGAGGCTAACTGGAGCGAGGAGATATTTCGAATTTATCGTATTCTCGATTGGCGAAAACCGCATGTGTACGAATTGAGCGATTTGGCAGACGAAGTCATAGACGGTATTTTTTATGAGCAAGAATTAGCTCGAGTTGAGAAAAACTTACAGTAAGAACAGTTTATCGTCGATCGCGTGATAAAGAGTAGGGGACGAGGAGCTAATAAGCAACTACTAGTTAGCTGGCGCGGTTATCCCAGCAAGTTTGATACTTGGATTCCGGCTTCGAGTTTAATTTCTCTTCGCGATGGAGGAACAATTTCTTCTGGTTCTTCCGAGCAGCAGTAGTATGCGTCATTTTCCGAATAATACAACGTCGTCCTTCATCACGGAATTACTTCACTCGTTAGTGTTATACAGACAATGGGAAGTTGCGTTAAGCGAGATTCAATTTCCCTGTACTTTTTTACACGTACGTCATAACGAGAATATGATCGGATGTTTAATTCGTCGATGTTTAACCCGACAGGGGAGGTGAGTGGCCCGTTTACGGCGAAAGAAGTTGCATTTCCAAATGGAATTTACAGCGATATCTATGAACTTATTGAGGCGATTAATACCGCGTGAATAAAAGCCGAATCGCATTTTTATTTTGAACAGCAAAAAGCGACTGGAGGCAAAGCCTGTATAAGTGTTAACTGCGATGAGAAGTGCAAAATGCTACATCATATAAACTTTTCCGATAATCTATTACGAGTGTTAGGTTTCTCATCAGCCATTTCGGCTAAACATGCATTTTATTCCAAGCTCACGATACGTAAACCTAATTCCAATGAAACACAAGAGAAAACTTTTCTTACGCACGGATTTAGTAAGGAGACAGGACGACGACAAGCAGATGGTTACTGGAGTAGCGAACCCTGCAGCTTGTGGCGCGCTATCCCCGATAAAATGTTCGTTTATTGCGATATTTGCGAGTCTTATATAATAGGCGATGTACGCACTCCTCTTCTCAGAGTAGTTTCGATTGAAATACGCAGTCATAATTATGCATTTGGTGCAAATCTGGTGAAGCATTTCTCATTTCCGAATTATATCCCATTGCGACGAATGAATTTCAGAACGATTGAAATAGATATAAGAGATCATCTCGGACAAAAAATTCCATTCGAATTCGGAACGCTGACGGTGACACTGCACTTTAAACGTAAGCAATAACTTTCATTCGTATACGCGATCGTGTCGATAGTGGCTTTAATTGATAGAGTAGTCTTAGTTAGTTAGAAACTCACGATGGAATATGAGGAGTATTTCGATTCACGGGACATCGGTAACCGAGGTGGAATTCCACGTGTTTTCGTCGGTTCGCCCTACCAACGCGGACATGGAATCGGTAGCTTTCTCGGTGGACTATTCAGAAAAATATTACCCTACCTAAATAAAGGCGCACGTGCTGTCGGAAAAGAAGCTTTGCGTGCGGGCATCAACGTGATAGAAGACGTCGAAAATAATAAAACGTTGAAGGAAGCGGTCAAAAGTCGGCTAGCAGAATCACGGAGTAACCTTAAGAGAAAAGCCAAAGAAAAAATAAGTTCCCTGATGAGGGGATTGGGATATAAATTATCCACAAATTCCGCTGCGCTTCAATTTCCACTTGGAGGTTGAGATAGTCGTATCGTGCAGCGTAAACGACGTCGAGTGGTCAAGAAAAAAAAATCATCGAGAAGTACCGCAGGAAAGAAGAACAAGAAAGTGACGAAGAAAAAGAAAATTCGTGCTGCAGGAAGAAAAACCAAAAAACCATCCGATAAGAAATCTCGAGTAAAAAAACGCGATGTATCCGATATATTCTCTTAATTGAGTTAGGAATTCACGGCTGGAGGAAAAACATGTCCTTTCTCCATATCCACTCAAGCGAGTGTATAAAGAGCGAACTCGATCTCTTCTCTCTGCCTCCTACGCAAACCAGCATGGAGAGTTCGCAATGGATTTATTACAAACCCGTAACTTCGCTCGCGGACGACTCGCCCATAGAATTCGTCATTCCAGGACATGGAGAAGACTATCTGGATCTCACTCACACCATGTTGAGCCTTCGCATACGCGTAGAAAGCGAAAGCGGAGAGAGCACATCGGTCGCACCCGACGACATGGCAAAAGTAGGACCCGTAAATCATCTACTGCATTCCATGTTCAACCAAATCGACGTATATTTCAATCAAAAGCTCGTGTCGCCGCCAAACAACGCTTACGCGTACCGCGCGTACATCGAGGCCTTATTAAATTTTGCTTCACCCGCAAAAACTTCCCATCTAACCTCCTGCTTATGGGACGCGGATATCCCCGGATACATGGACGACACTTTAGACGCGTCAACCTCAAATTCGGCGCTCGCGAGACGCGCAAAATACATTCAAGGGAATCGCGCGCTAGATCTCATAGGTCACCTTCACTGCGACGTTTTCAATCAAGATAAATTTTTAATTAACGGAGTGGAAGTTAGAATGAGGTTCGTACGCTCGAAAGATTCGTTTTGCCTTTTGGAGAGTAAAACGTTATCAAAAATACGCATTCTTGACGCCAGTCTACTCGTAAGAAGAGCAAAAATAAGTTCCGGTATGCTACTCGCACACGCTAGAATGCTGAGT